TAATTTCCATCGAAGTTTACACTACAGAGGTGGGTACTCTACTTAGTAGGTCAGCAAGCGAATATATGGAACATTCGATAGTAACAGTGTTTTGTCAACACCGGCCCGAATTGACTCAGCGCATATCTTCCATTGTCGACTCACTTGGCCCAAGCTTCAAACGGGAATTTACTGACCACTTCTTCCCAACAATCTTTCCTGAACCACTACAGCGACTATGAGAGCCATACCATATGTTCATACTAACATACATACTTGTCATTTTTGAAAATAATAATAATATACCTATTAACGTTACCTAGTTGATCCTCCGATCAGCCAACCAGATATGCCAGTCAGATGAAGGCTAAGTCGGTAATTCTTGATAAGTGGCAAGTTATTGATTAAGACAATAACTAAGGACGTCAAGAGTATTTTTCCTTTTTTTTTCTTTTTCTAAAGATAGAATTTTATGAGTCTCTCAGATTCGCTTCAATGAAACATACCATAGTTTCTAATAGAGCGACAACGAAACATTAAATAAAATCCCTTCGGCGGAAACAGTACTGAGAAGAGTATATATAGGCAATATCTCAGCCTCACAATCCCTCCGAGTATTGCTGTGTTCACGAGACATACCTATCTTTACTAAAAGTCTCATTTCGTTTATTTACTTTGATATTTTCACGATACTTAGAATTTACCTACGCGTTTATTTACTCTAAGGCGTTAATATCACCTTAATAGACCGAATCTTACATCCTTGTAGAGTACCTTACGTCCAAATACGCGGGATCGGTCGAGTGTTTGCTGGCTGTTGTGATAGTAGTGTTATGAGTGGTGGTCGATCTGGGTTTGGCGATAAGGCGTTAGTAATATTGACAGCTTGAATAATTGCTTCTCCCCAAAAGCTTGACGGCAGATTTGCATACGCAAGCATGGCTCGGGCTCAATTTTTGATAGTCTGGTGGGCTCTCTCGATAATCCCGTACAGTTGTGGTGTGGCCGTCGGTACGTTTCTGATCATGTATCCCAAGTGGCATAATTTTCGTCTCATCCCGACTGATGTAAATTGACTGCCTTGGTCGAATAGTATCGTCGAAACTCTTTTTCCGGATAATACGTGTAGCTGGTCGAATAATTGCAGTAGATGTTCCAAGACGTTGGCGGTTGTTATAGTCGGTAATAGTGCGACCATAAGATATCGCGAGTGATCGTCTATTAATGTCAGGGCTTATCGGTTGCTGTCTAAAGTAGGGGGGCTATACGGTCCTATAATATCACTTAGGACTAAATCCAATGATTCAGAAGAAACTTTGCCTTATCTTTCGCTGGAAGTAGACTGGCTCCTTTGGTTGGCCCTGGCACATTTGTCGCACTGCTTATGTTGTCTTATACGGGGCAGGTTAGGGGATACGTCGCCAGTGCGTGCGAGACGTTGATGCCAAGTGACATAGGCAGAATCTGAAAGCTCCAAAAGTTCAAATAAATCGGCAATATACAAACCAGCTGAGTCTTCTTCAATATGTATAACGCGATTCTTCGGAGTAATAATGGCAAGGTGTTTTTCTAAAAAATATAAAGAGATACCCATGTTCTGTCATCAATCGTACGCTGAGTAGTGGAATCGTTGAATGTCTTATCCAGCAGGGCTGTTCCAATATCGAAGAATTCGGCAGAGCAAGTTGATGTAATACAGTTCCCATCGGCAACTTTCATTGTATATATATTGTTGGCGGTTGTCGGTAAATTTAGCACGGCTGTCTTTTCTTGAGTCAATATCCTCGTGGGCCTCTCAATTGGGGCAGTCTTGGGTTGAATTCTGTGTCTACCTGGTTGGCATGAGCGTTCACCATAAAAACATTTGCTGGTTGTTGGGACCTTGTATGTGTGCTGCTTGGTTTTTGTATATGCGCGTATTCCGACTGTATCCAATTGACATATTGTTGTTGTTGTGCTGCGGCATCTTTCTGGTCAAATTCAGCTTGCAGCCTTATGAACAGACTGTCTGCAAGATTGCGATTAGCAAGTGCAGAATTAGCGTGTTGTTGTCGGTTTCTTAATTCATAATTTTCGTATCCTTCTCGTTCTCGATTTCCAAAACGTCTGTTGAATCCTCCGCATTGGTTTTGGTCGGGTGACCAGTATGGCTGAGTCCTTGAGCTGTTACTATTAGAACCGCGGCCTTGTCCTGAATTTTGGAAATTGCCTCGTCCAAAAAAAATTCCTCGACTGTGGTAGCCTCCTTGGCCTGTAAATCTCCCTTGGTCTCTCGAATCAAAGTTTTGTCTGAATTGTGGTAATCGACAATTTTGTGCGATGTGTCCATGATTTTTGCACTTGTGACATTTTCTGTTAGTAGTGGCAGTAAAGGCGGCGTCCGAAGTCGATGTTGCATTGGTGTTCAGAATTCGGGTTTCAGTTTGCAAAGCAGTCTGTTGTACATATGCTAAGGCAGCTCCGTAGCTTAGTACCATAGCACTGTCGGTAAGCAGGTGAGTTACTATAGAGATGTAATTTGTATGTATAGCGCCGGTTAAAAATGTGATCTTCTCGGTGTCGTTAAGTTCGATATTCATATTGAAGGCGTCAACAAATTTTGTGTTCAGTCTTAGGATAAACATATTCATGTACTCGTTGTCTTGTTGTCGTATTTTCCCAAGTTCTTGTCTCATCCATATCCTGCCTCCTTCTCCAATGTGACCATAATTTTGTTATAGCATTGTGAACATTTCTTTCGGATTCATGGTTGCACTCAGAGTAGCCATTATGTCTGGCGATACAGAATTGATTATGTAGTGTTGACCCTCTCCAATTTCTTCGTCTTTCCAGGCTCGTTCATAATTGGTGTTGGTGGCGGGCTTCATTGCGTGGTGTATTACATCACATATATCTTCGGCTCGTAAAATGACAGTGAGTTTCATAAGCCACATCTTGAAATTACTACGGCCTTTGAGTTTGTTTATCGGCTTCCACTTGGTGTTCGTCATGTTGAAAAAATTGAGTAGAGGAGCGGACCTGATAAGTTGTTAGACTATCAATTATAAGAGCTTAGAATACGTGCTTTATTGTGGTGCCTGCTCAAGGCATTTATACTAAGAAATTTTTTTGTCATGACTAATTCATGAACAGGGTAAAAAACCTTATTTAGAAAAAACCCATTTACATTATATGTTGTGGTTTATGTTGTCCAATACAAGCTCCGTATGGCCCCTCCTGCCTCGACCCATGGAGCACGAAGAAAAAAAATGACCCGATTCCGGCGATTCTAGAGTTTGATATCGGAAAATGCCTGGGAGACCTGATCTGAAATATCCCCTGGACACATTTTTGATATTGCACTTGTTTCAAAACCTGATCCTGACTGATTTGGAAAATTTTGGCCGTTTTTTCAGTATTCACCCTTCCAGTACGAATTTTAGACTTTTAAGGCCAGAATGTCAAAATATTGATATTGCTAAATATTCCTTCAGGTCGAAAAGAATATTTATGTGTGTGATATGCATATTAACGCTATTCTTGAGTTCAGTGTAACAATCCCAGTAGTATTGATATCAAGTTCAGTGCACCCCTGTAGTATTGATATTACATATGCGTATTTATCCCGAAGTTACATTCCGAGTGCAACCCCGTCGAGCGATATTGTAGCCGAGCAAAGTTTGAGGTGCGAGAAATATGCGATGATGCGTGGGCAGGCCTTCAAAAACATGTCATCAAAGCTCTGAGCAATGTTAAACTGGATACAATTAGATGCTTTGTGAAGGGTGCCTATCGTTACCTCGATTGCTTTAAAAAATGGTCTTACTCTGCAACTTGCAGCGTTTTCAAAAAGAAATATACTTCTCATCGACGTGTACCGGAAAATGTATATGAAATAGTCACCGCCGAGATGGCTATGTAATAAGCAATGATCCAGCAGAAGTTCAAATAATGTTATATTTTTTACCATAACCCAGAGACAGCTTTAATTAAACCATCATCATTTCTGTATGGACAGATCTTGCATTATAACATTTATCTTTACTGTAGGATAGACTTCCACTATCAAAAGACATACAACTATCAGTTCTGAGACATATGGGCGTGGGCCCTGGGCAGTGTCAATATTGGCCATCCCAGGTCCATATATTGGCCGCCCCAGGTCCATATATTGGCCACTTCAAAAATGGCCGAAATTTTTAGGGCAGTTTTGGCATCCTCTCAACCAGCCTAATCCCACCATACAACCAGATTTTGCGGAATCAATTTTTTCGGAGTGTAATTCGCATTTTTTTTTAAACCATTTGGCCGACTATCTTAAAAGGCAACTGCACCAGAGAAAGTATGTGGTTTATAGGAGAGAGTGTGTGACTGAACTGAAGCACTGGCAGTCTGGCAGTCTGGCACTCACCGAGTCACCGGTCCAGTGAGTCAGTGACCACTACATAACCACTGACCACTGACCACTGACCACTGGAGAGCAGTAAGTGACAGCGTGAGCCACTGTGAATGTTCAGTATGAGACTGTCACTGAGGTCTGTGAGACTGTCACTGAGGTCTGTGAGACTGAAGAGAGACTGGTCACTGACGAGACGTGAGTTGGCTACAAAATGAGTAAGAGTAGAGACTCTAGTAGAGACACTGAGTGTGTGGGACAGAGGGTGGAGTCAGGAGTGTGAACTGTGAACTGTGAACTTGTGAAGTGACTCTCACGAATCACGGTCTCGCCTACATACACTTATATACAGAGCGTATAGTTTATATAGTATATACAGTGTACACTAAATTATAGTACACACTAGTCCATACTCTATACAGCTAAATCTCATCAAGGGATAGGGAATAGAAGTTGAACGTAAACGTATACTGATTCGATTTTAAAACGTTATAACGGTTATAACGTGATCAGAAGGGCCTACCTACGTTCTTTTTATAGGACTGGTTCGTATGGTGAAATCGGTACACACTTAAATTTATAGACCCGGAAAGGTGCATCTATAAGCATAAAAATGACCGCACATGGAATAAAAATATAACGTAAACGTTAAAATGGTTTGAGGTTACCTCTACAGTAATATGACAGTATACATCAACTATAGTACTATATGTACAGTTGAACACTCTCTATGTAACAGTAGTACTGAGTACACTGTGGCTGTTGTATAGTATACAAGTAATACAACTTTAGTGAGTGTATTTACTCACTAGCCACTACTCAGTGTAGCGAAAGAGTCAAAGTGTACATGAGTCAAGGCCAGCAAATTATCTTATAGATCTGAAGACTGAAGTAATTTACTAAAAAAACCAATTTTGTTTTAAAACTATCAAATACCAAATATACATGTCGTATTTTTTTTCGACAACATGTATCGAAAAAGGTCCTATGTACGGACTTTAGTCCGTTGTGGTATACCGTTTTTTCTAAAAACATTTATTTCTCTACTAGTATGTAGTAGTGCCCGTGATGCCGTGAGGGTCTTGAAAAATGAAAATGTCATTAGACGATTATTTCCAAAAGTCCAAAACAAATCACTTGAAAAAGGAAGACATCTCACGCCTCAGCCAATATAAAATATACACAAGAGAGACGAGGTAGGAAGAAGTAAAAGTATAGACGTATTTATAGTTTAGACGTATTTATAGTTTTGACGTATTTATATATGAAAAATATATATACATGTGATGTAATTAGTGATTTCGCGGGTGATACTGTTCCGCCTGTCGAAAAATAACTCGAAAAAAATATGTGCCGTGTAAATTTACAGATATATTTAAATAATGTACAGTTGTTTGAAAGGTTTCACATTTCAAAAAAGTGAATTCATTAACCCTAAATGTGAGAATGCAGATGATCCTGTTGTTAGCAGCTAGATTGAATCCTAGTGTAAAAGCTCAGCAGTTTATCATTGCATAATGTAACATGATCAGAACAGAATCATAACTTCACAACTTTACTACATCTCTCTTCTACTTTCCCGACACAGTTTATTGCAAATTTCACTACTATCAAGCGGGAGGTTGCACCGTATGTCGCCCAGTCACAAGATATGTCTGAAGGAAACCCTATAGACAGCAGGAATTCGTACGCCGCAGACAAGCCCGTGAGGCGTATGGCCAATGACTGCACTGAAACACTCAAAGCTAGTCTACCGGACGTGTTGGAATCCCTCGGCCTTTCGTTCAGACCACCACCTCAAAATCATCAGGAAGACGTCGACAATTATGATCAACAGGCGTCACAACCAGCAGCTAATGATAGCTTTGGCGAGTTGCTGCCCACCGAATTGGATAAGCCAAGGTATTCGTATTCTACTTTAGTCGGCATGGCTCTATGCTCGGCACCGGGCAGGCAATTAACGCTGGCAAATATATACCATTGGATTGTAAAGCACCATCCAGACTACACAAGAGAGAGTTCTGAAAACTGGCGGTCTAGTGTGCGCGATGTGTTGAAGAACAACGATGCATTCCAGATGAAAGTTCTCCCTGGTATAACTTACAAAAGCGTCTGGACTGTAGATCCGGCGCACGCTAAGAAGTTTGAATCCCAGAATAGAAAACGCGAAGGCTCAAACCTCGCTACCAAAAAAGATAGCGATCGACTTGGAGCTGAAGGAAATCGCATTATGGGCGGCAAGAGGCAGAGGTTTGCGAATCGCACCGACCATATAAATATCCAGAGGGCCGGACCACCTAATGACCGTATAGAAACGATAAGAGTCACTCAACGTGCGCTAGCCTCCGGTAATTCAGATATCGATCAGGAATCTAGCTCGTACTCTGAAAAGAAAATGACGATTTTATCGTGTCTGAATCTCCAGACTAGTTTACCTCGGTCGATAAGTCCGAACGTGAGCGCTTTGAGATCCTTCTCACAATCAGAGATTCGAGATCACTCTCAAAATACAGAACAAGCTTGCTTAGTTAATCACCATACTGCGCGGTTTTCGCGTACCTCACCGCGTACATCTGGACCAACGGTGAATGACACTCAACACGCGCCAACAATTGGTCTTGAGGTGATTAAAACACAACTGCTAGAACTTTCCCAAGCCACCCCAATGGCTGAGGATCTAGACACAACTTCCACACATGTACAACAGCGGAAAATAAAATCTCATTGTTCAACATTTGGAGCTGTCGACCTTGCCAACACCCAATTTCCCAGACTCGAGACAATCCAGCTTGCCACGGATGAGTACAACCAAGTCAAACAGTCTTTCTGAAGACTGTGCAGATCAATCATCCCTCGAACGATACAGATTTCGTGATTCATTTTAGCTGGAATAAATATCGTGCTTTTGCCAATGATCATACGAATACTGCTGACAATCTGACATCCTCGAACAAACGAACGACAAAAAAATTTATATTTGATAGAACCACCTTGTAAATAAATGTGAGTAATGTCTAAATCAACAAATTTACGTAACGTAGTAAAACATCCTTTTGTATCGAGTTTTTATTTACATATGTCATGTGACTGATAGAGAGGTTTATGTGGTTGCCAACCCTCCTGGAGACTTAGCACATACAATGCAGTTATTAAAACAATAGTATCCGAGAATATGGATCCCAAATTAACTATTTATAGTCATTGTGAACAGTTCTGCCAAATAAACAGCTTACACACGGCAACTCCATGCTGAGGATTGAGATAACAGACTTTTTTCATTGTCAGCTACGAGAAAGTAACTTGGGACACCAGTGCTTCACCACATTTCAGTAGGCCAGTGTTAATCTCCACCGAATTAGTCGACCTGGGAGCTCAGGTAAGAGGTAACGGAACTCACATCGATCGAATTTATATGCGGTAAATGTGGCATCAACCAGATTTGCTTCGTTAAAAGATTCCATCGAACGTCTAGTTCGATCATTACTTCCCATCGCAGCAACTTATAAGTCTGCTTCAAACACAAGGCAAGTTATATGGTACAATTGTATGATAAATTTTCCAATAAGTAATAGTATACTATTTAATCGCCAGTTACTTTGCCGATTCAGGTCGATCAATGAGATTCACAGCTTGTTTCAATGAGCAAACCGGCTTCAGAATATGTACTGTGGTCCAAGCAAATGCTATGAGAAACGATATTGTATGAGTGCACATCACCCACGCACCGTAAATCGAAGCCCACATCAGCCCGTTAATTTGTTGAGAATTTCCCTCCAACACCAAGCCTAAAACCACTAGAAGGGGTACAGTTGCAAATATGGTTAGATAACCTCCTACCGCCAGCACTGACGGCCATCGTTTGCTACTTAATAAATTTGGAAATATATAGCGTATGCGAGATCGTCGTACGTATTCGAGTTTGACCGGCTTGAGCCAAGATATGTTTCGCTTGTTATTTAGTCGTCCGAATACAAAAGGTACGGCGATGAAAGGTGCAATAGAAGCGAAAATGAGACTGACGCAAACTTCGCCAAATATACTGTAGCTCCAAAACTGAGCTGTGCCGTTATGCCGACGTTTTGTCTTCCAATATGACATTCCGAATGCTATTCCAAAACTAATGAGAGCAAACACAATTATCTTGACCCACAACCAGATACTGCGGCTGTAGCGTCCGTACGTTTTATAACACTTCAGTCCCTCATTGCAATTGTCGCATTTCAACAACGGGTTCTCACTTCCGCTTTCTATTGTGCCCGAGTCTTGTGTGGTTTTAGAAAACTTATTGTGAGATTTTGATGTTTCGACAGGTAGAATGCTCGGTATGCCTACACAAATCGTTGGTATAGCTGAGTTCTGTGACTGGAAGGCTGTGCCTGATGGCAAAGGAGTAGAAGATGCCCGTGTCATACTGGAAGGATATTATTGTACAAATTTACTTTTGATTTGATGCAATGTGTTGAATCTGGAACTTGTGTCTTTTATACGTTGATGTACAGCGGTTGATAAGTTGAAATTGATAGTATATGGCTATACTGCAGTATACAAAGTATATTGTATATTCTTGCCTTGTCAGCAGGGTGTGTATATATATCTAGAGATTAAAAAACACAACTCAATGAATTCCACGACGAATACCATTGAGATAAAAAAAAACAATTTGATCACTTATTTCTATAAAAAATTCTGGAATGCATAGATCACAATCAGCGCGCAATCTGCGAATCATCTTTAGGAGAAACATTATTTTATCTATTTTTATTTTCGCATTCTACATACTATGATACAGCCTTCTGGAAAACGAACAACAAGAAGGCTACGATTATTTTTAACGTCTATTTGCCGGTATCCAACGTACATTCTTGCCTCTAATACAGATCGTGCTGCAGACCACTGACCAGTATACAAACAAATCGAAGAGTTGATGACTCATTCATACGTAATGATCGCCTTATAGATGTGTTGTTATACCCAGCTGACAACGAGTAGATGCAAACCGAAATACACAATTTTTACTTCATTAAATTTATATCTGCTACGCAGGGGTTGTAAAAATATTGGAAGGTCCGGTCGTATACCAGGCCTCCCAATCGATCATCCCCTGTGGTTGGCGACTTGCGACTTACAAAGGCACGTGTGAGAATAAATATGAAACCGATTCTCCATTGTGAGTTCTGCGGATAGCCTCGGCAAGGATGGGGGCAATATCCATCACCTTAATTCGGTCACATACCGCCTGCGCAAAGTGTAGATGAAATTTGAGTGTCAATACACAGCCGCGCGGAGAGATAAAAATAAATGGAAGTCTTGTATATACAAACAAGTCGGATACTACGAAAGGATGTGCACTATTGGGTATCGCAGATGGTAGGTATGTGGGTTAGAATGCGTGGACTCGCCATTCTATCGAATTATCATATTGTAGTATAGACCGTTAGGTCTAGCGATTTGTAAACATATCTATAGTTTGTGAGTGCCTGCAACTGGAATGGTATCCCGTAGCGGTCGGATTATACACTGTTATTTTTCAAGTCGGCGTATACGCCGACTTTGACTACAGAGCATGCTGAGGTGTGTACTACGATCGAACTGCACACACTATTCAAAGATGATGCATACCTGTTTGTCGGCAATCGGAATTGTATTCGTGACGACCAGACTCGTCAGCACAGAATTGTTGATCTTCGATACAGCGTCATTTGATAGTACACTACGTAAGGCAAACAATGGGACAATCATATATGCGATGAGAAAACGTGTGGCCACGGCGATTAAGTTTGAAACAGTGCTTGCCCTCGACCATATCGACAATATAATCTACATACACAACGTGTAGGATACAAGTCAATCCCTTCAACAGTATGATCTACATAACAAGTCCGATATAAACAGAACCTGCACCAGCTAGTGTGCATATGCATGCATCGACATCAACAAACACTTACGCATGCGTGACGCATGCACTGACGGACAACGCTCCGCACTCCTGCAATCGGTTCGCAGCCATGCACAGAGTTCCGCAAGTGTCGGCCATGTCGTCTACGAGGATGCAGTGTTTACCCTCGACACTACCCACGAGCGTCATGGAGGATACCTCGTTGGCCTTTTTCCTCTCTTTGTGGATCAGGGCAAAGTCGCACGACAGGCGATCGGCGATGGATGTCACACTGTAGATGTGTATGAAGTATGCAAGTTAGGAATATTTGTGTATTGATGGAGAGGTCATATACTTGTATATTTATATGTTCATGGACGGTCTGTGTATCCATCTCTAGACAACGTACATTTTGTTATTTTGGACATTTCCCTTCTCTTTGAGGTTCAACGTCCAGTCGAACGACAGGTGTTTGCAAAGAAATCATTTAGCCACATCAAAAGCCATGTACTTCCCAACTGATATATAAAATGTATATATATATATATATATATATATATATGTGTGTGTGTGTATGTATATATATATATATATATGTGTATGTGTGTATATGTATATAGTATATGTATATATATATATAGTATATATGTATATATATATATGCATATATATATATATATATATGTGTGTGTATATATATATATATATATATATATATATAAATCTAGTCATGTTCGCACATGCGAGTGTGAATCGTGAATACTCGTACAAATACCAATCCTGTGCATAGTTCATAGATCCAATACATACCGCTTCACACCTCCGGCATCGGGTGAAACGATGACAACATCGTCCTTGATCTGCTCTAGGTCGAAGCCCATCCTCTCAATGATGTACTTCAGGATGGCAGGTTCTCCGTATAAGTTGTCTAGGGGCACGTCAAAGAAGCTAAACGGGATAGTAATGGTAGACACCGATTGGATTTAGTACTCCGTGCATATGCATGTGTAAATACGATGTGGGATGCACATATGCTCACAAACATACTAACTTTACACGGTTCTCCTACAATACTAGTTGATGTATCATACACGTGGTGCAATCAACTCGCGGCAGGACGAGTGTATTCACAACGCTTACAGCATGATCAAGACGCATGAGCACGCCATGATAATATCAGTATGCATCTGAGGCACTAGGCTGTATACATCTACACACATATGCTCACACGTGTGCCACTTACCCTTGTATTTGTGAAGCGTGGAGATCCATGCAGATGATGTGGTCAGCGCCTGCCACTGTGAGCATATTCGCTACGAGTTTGGCTGTGATGGGAGCACGACTCTTGTCCTTCCGGTCCTGCCGGGCATATGGGAAGCACGGGATCACCTGCGTCATGGGTGGAACGTATTGGTCAATGGTTAACAAACAAATGTGTATGAACGGGATCACCTGCGTCATGGGTGGAACGTATTGGTCAATGGTTAACAAACAAATGCGTATGAACGGGATCACCTGCGTCATGGGTGGAACGTATTGGTCAATAATTAACAAACAAATGCGTATGAATGGGATCACCTGCGTCATGAGTGGAACGTATTGGTGAGGAAACATTGTATATTAAACAGGGTATGAACGGAATCACCTGCGTCATATGGGTAGAACGTATTGGTCAATGGTTAACAAACAAATGCGTATGAACGGGATCACCTGCGTCATGGGTGGAACGTATTGGTCAATGGATAACAAACAGATGCGTATGAACGGAATCACCTGCATCATAGGTGGAAAGTATTGGTCAATGGTTAACAAACAAATGCGAATGAACGGAATCACCTGCATCATAGGTGGAAAGTATTGGTCAATGGTTAACAAACAAATGCGTATGAACGGAATCACCTGCATCATGGGTGGAAAGTATTGGTCAATGGTTAACAAACAAGTGCGTTTGAACGGATTCACCTGCGTCATTTGTGGAAAGTAATGACCAGAGACCAATGGTTAAAAAACAAATGCGTATGAACGGAATCACCTGCATCATATGTGAAAGTAATGGCAAGAGACCAATGGTCAACAAACAAATGCGTATGAACGGAATCACCTGCACCACGTGTGGAAAGTATTGGCTATGAAACAGTGGTTAACAAACTAATACGAATATACGGGATCACGTGCACTGTGTATTAAAGTTTATCTGCAAGGAATCGGCGATAAATAGGCTCGTGGATTCAAAACCGACGTTTTTGCTGGTCGGCGCTATTCCTCTGGGACTTGTTGTGACGCACGGATCCACCCCCAACAGTACTGAGATTATATGTACCACCTCCGTCGCGAATGATTAAGTCTTCATTACGCACTTAGATGGTTCAACCCTTGCCTGATTATCAATATATACATA